GTCTACAACAGAGTACACCGTACACCCAATTGACAAACATTATAATCATCCAAGTCAGAGCTGGCAGTTCAAACATCATGTACAGAAAGGATTTTATAGTTTTTTCTCATTAAAATTTATCACTTAGCCTTCCTCTATAAGTGCATTAGTTTGTAGCGCATGTATAATATATATATATATATATATATATATATATATATATATATATATATATATATATATATAGGAAAATGAGTCAGTACACCCAGAAGTACATACTCCTATGGCAGGTGGCGTTTTTTTGTTCTCCACGCATGCTTCTTATCCTTTAATTAATTGGTTATTTAATTACCTGCTAAACCGGTGGAGTTCAAAAAGTTAGTTCCGTATTGATAGGGAGGATAAGCCACCTACACGTCTAGATTGAAATCCCAAACAAAAGATGGATGACGCAGCCGCAACAAGCAACGAAGACTAGATGTGGCGTCCACCAATAAGCAGCAAGCTGATGGCGGTTGTCGCGACGCAAACGAGCTTGCTGCGTCGACGAGCTGTTCGACGACGACGAGACGAGATCCTTCGCTGCTCCCTGGCTGGCCTAACTAGCCGTAGGTGCACCACGGGGCCGCCGACGGGGTGCCTAATATGCAGGTTCTCTCATGGGCATTGATCTTGATAAGGTATGTTGGCTAATTCGTATGCATGCGTACATGGATTAATGGATGATGAGACTATATGCATCTGTTCTAGTGTTCTATTGATTACTTTGTATCTTGCGCATGTTTGACCTACACAGCTCGTCTGATCCTGTACGGGAGTTGGGCTATCACGGCTGGCCGCGCGTCTTCTTCGACCAAGATGTGGATCAGGTTTTGAACGGTTGCGCCTACAAAACTCAAGGGATTCTGTTGGCAGCTCTAATCACGCGACACTGTGATCTAGAACTGGAAGGATCAATCATGCATGAAGATAGATGCGTATAAAAAAACAAGATGGTGTAATGACGCATGTACTGTATATAATTTCGTTATTTGGGTCTTGTTATTTTTTCAAGTGGAAACATACCAACATTTGAAAGAAAAAATACCTCCATTTTATTCTTATATTCTAAATGATATACTCTTTTTTAGTTCATACTTATTTTTCGGAAAAAAATACAGTATGCATATACTCACAAAAAAAGTCGCACTCAACAATTTAATATATGCACTAAAAACCAGTATATACCCTCTCTGCAAAATAATATGTACTCACTAAAAAAGTAGTATAATCCTTCCCAACACAATAATGGTATATACTCCTTGCAAAAATGCGGAATATATTGTATATACTCACAAAAATCCAGCATATATCCTTTCAGCAAAACAAAGTAGATACTCGCTTAATTAGCCACGCCAAATAAAGCACCCTCCTGGCAAAATATGTGGTATGTACTCCTCACAAAAATGTGGAATATATGGTATATACTCCTCATAAAAATCTAATATATATCCTTTCAGCAAAATAAAGAAGATACTCGCTCAATTACTCACACCAAATAATGCACCCTCCTGGCAGAATATGTGGCATATACCGCATCACAAAAAATTGTATATACTCGCTGAAAAATAAGTAATGTACACCCTATTAGCAAAATTAAGTATATATTCCCTTAGAAAAAGTAGACCTAGGTAAGTATATGGTATATACCCCTCATAATGAGAAAAAATATATATACTCAACCAAGTAAACAATTAGTATATACTTAGAGTTATGTTACAATACATCTGCGGTGGTAGCATGCATTGCATGGAAGAAAAACCAAAATTAAAAACGTCAGGTACAGCAGCGATTCAAAATTGGATAAGGTGTGGACGTTCCTAGCTTCTAGGCATTAGGTACGTATGCAAAGTTTTTTTTTTTTTGTAACCACCACGGTTGGATAGTGCTCCTATTGGGTATATCAATCTCCACTAAGACTGAAGTACATACTCCTGGAAGTATAAAAAATGAGTTTTATATATGGTCGTGCTATTCGTCACCCAGGGTGAGGAATTCTTATTCCTCACCCCACCCCCTTCATCACCCCACGTGCCTCAGCCTGAACCAGCCGCACCAGACGTTGTAAACTTACGGCACACACCTACGGCCCTGAACTCCACGATGCACTTGCGAACGTAAGGATTTTAGCCATGTAAGGTAATCTTACAGCGTGGAGGCCAATCGTGGAGGTTAGTTTACTTGGTGGCTTAATTCGGTTGATCTGAAGATGGGTGGCCTACAACCATGCGTCAGGGTGCAACTTTTTATATTTATCTGAGAAGTATGCAGTAGTTGTGGACACGTACTATTTAATCCCCTGCATACATTACCTCTATCTGCACGAGCTCTAGAAAAAGTTTGCTCATTCTGTTGTATCTTCAGTTTAATGGAAGAAATAATTTTCAGATTAAAAAAGAGAACGACGAGATGGGCTGCTGATAATTTGAGATACCCTAACTAACCATGTGCGAGTTATAATTAAGTGGCAGGGACAAAAGTTTCCAATCGGCAGGCATAAGAACTCGATGCCATGGACTCAAGAACAGAGTACATCCGGGCAAATGCATTCACAAGTGGCAGCCACGAAACCACATATAACCGTCATTTCAATTACAGTAAGTACTTGAAATAACTTGCAGAGAAGATGGCCCTGGCCTGGCAATAGACTCTGGGTCACGAAAAGAGACTCAACAGTGATGAGCGCCGAAACCAGCGGAAACATTCCTGAAAACAATAAACAATTTATGTAGCATTGGATTAATGATAAAAATCATCAATGCAGAATATTCTAAAAATATTTGGTGCCATGACAACTACAAACAGACATGACCGTCAACAATAAAGCCTAAGAAAATCTGATCACATACAGAAATGCACTCCTGTACAAGACAAATGTGTCGGACATGACAATTGATAACAAGATTCAGTTAAACTCAAGACAATTGCATGATCACATTATCACATATGAGCTTAAGAAGTAGTGGCAATCAAGCTTAAGAAAATCCTAACATGGAATACATCGTACATTTATCTGTATGTAGTTAATGATTCTGCCTGCTAACATTTAACAAACATAAGATTTAAGCAAAGAAGCATTAGCTACATACAGATAAATATATGATGTATTCCATGTTAAGAATTTCTGAAGATATGGCATAAGAATAAAAAATGCTAACTGATTGCGACTACTTCTCTTGCTCATATAGACATTTAGCATAATGTAGGCCTCCTTCAAAGGAGCAAATCAACCACTATTAGGGTGAAAGGGAAACACTTGTCCTCGGTAGTTAAGCCAATGCAAATCAATACCAATCCTCTATTATGGGGACATTGAAATTGATTAATTAATGATTGGCACCAAGTAAATGTCATGGCTTCCTAGCGAAAGGAAAAGCAAAAGGAAACACATCAACGTTACGAATTAGGTTTATGCCAGTTCAACCAAAACAACGAAGATATACAGCCAGAAAGAGGGTCACTATGTACCTCATTGCAATTGAAATAATTCTTAACTCGAAACTGCTAGTAACCACGAGTTGCTCCAAAGTGCACAAAACAAGAAAATTAAATTACTCATATAGCCTACTGAATAATTATATTGGACATGCATTAAGCTGAACAGAGAATAGCATGATGTACACACAAGATAAGACTATTAACACTAAGTAATTGGTCTCTGTCTTGCCCTTCTCTTTTGGTTTCTATAGGCACCGAGCTCCTCACTGGACCAGCTTTAGTGCTCTAGTTTTTAATTAAGTTTTCGTGGCTCCTGGTGTAACCTTATTGAGTCTTTGCTCCTTGTTTGTTTGTACCATCTAGTTTATGATTAACGGAAAATTACCATAGGGATTTGCTGGTGAAAAAGAAATTAACACTAAGTAATTCTAATGATGACCAGAAGCAAGAATTGCACCCTAAATTTAAATGGGAAAACTCAAAATCCTAGCATTGCGGGAAGATCTCGATACATGTTGCTAGTACAACTAGCAACTTCCTTTTCTTTTGCGTAGAGAAAGCAAGCTATTTGTTAACTACAAAATTCAACATAATTCATAAGCCTCAAAAGAAACTAAAGTTTGTACCCCCAAACATGTACATCTTTTTGTGTGCATTGCCCAAACAATTTATGGACTAGAATGCACGTTAGTAAATGTATAACTATCTTTGAGTTCCTTGCAGATTGAAGAAGAAAACAGAGACATAAAATTGAAATATTTGCTAATGGAAGAAACAATTTTTACGTGCAATGAAAACAGACCGAATTTGGCATCTAGCAACTTTGATAATTTGCCCTCTGAACAAATTCAGGAAAACGGATTAATCACAAGCCTTAATCATATTAGCAATAAGTAGATTCTTCATGGGCTGAGCGGTACCTGGGTACATCAAGGCGAACTCGGAGTCACGGAACACCATTGGTGAGGACGACTGGCATGTTTAAATGGTAAAATGTATTCTTTCATCCAGCTTATGGTGAGTATATATGCCTATGTGTCTTACCGTGGGTACAAACATTGCCATTTTCTTTTCTGTAGTGTTCCCTCATCTCCAAGTCCCTTGCAAACATCTTGTTCGACTCCTAAATTTGATGGCAGAATTCTGATTCTTCATTTACCTAATACATTCAACATAAAGTTAGCATCATCACTTCGAAATTTATCTCAAGAATACTATAAAACAAAATTCCTCGTAAAGTGAACCATCTTTAATTCAAGAAATTACCTCATAAGTTTATGCAAAAATTGATTAACGAATTTCAAGATAATTGGCATTGTCAGCTAGATACAGGCTAATTCTTTATGTACATTATTACTAACATTCAGTTAAATCAGGAGCAACATTTATAGCTAAAAGGATGCAAATTCGTGAATTTTACACAAAAGCTAAATCACAGAGGGGATTCACATGTCCTACAACAAACAAAAATTAATCTCAGCTCAATCGAAGACTGAATCCACATAGCCTTCTTCTCATCCTCCATGATCTCCACCTCCTTGAATTTAATCCACCGATGGGAGCGTGTCTCCACCATCACCTTCATCACCCGCTTCCTGGTAGGTAGTAGGCAAGCTCCTGATTTTCTTTCCTTTCCTTTCTTGATCTTCATCCTCCTCCCCTGCACGGTTGCACCGCTCCCGAAAATCCATAACCCTAACCCTAGAAATTCAGAAGTTCATGGAGGACGAGAGGGGAAGAAGAGGAGGAGGAAGGTCATACCGGTGAGAAGACCGCCGAAGGTGGAGAGGACGCCGGAGAAGGCCGTTGACATCGCCGAGCTCGCGCCAGATCGTTGCACCGACGACATCGCCTCCGGGTCGCTGCCGCATGAGAGCGGGAAAGGGAAGCACTCCACGGGCGAGAGAGGTAGCCGTTACCTCCGGGTCGTTCCTCCGGTGTCGTCGCTGCTGCCGACTCCGCAATCGCGAGATAGGAGGGGGGGCCGGGGGAGAGAGAGAGGAACGTTGCCGTCGAGTGAGAACTGCTCGCATATAATTTTATTTTGTAACTGTGCTCGCCTTTGATTGGAAAAGGCACAGGGGAGTGGGCTAGCATGTAGCTACCGCCCAACTGTTTTCATTGATGTAAAATTACATCGATGAAACGTAATCTTATAGCGATTGTGAATTGGTTGGACCGGTCTGTCGCTCGGTCGATTGAATATATATATATATATATATATATATATATATATATATATATATATATATATATATATATATATGACTCCTCTTTTGTACTCCCAAGAGTATGTACTTTCACTCACAATGGATAAGGTTTAAAGGTGTGGACGTGCTAATTAGTAAAAAAGACTAACAAATTTAGTTTGTATGCGTAGCTACTCTCTAAAAAGAAGGAACGGTGCATGCTAATCTATTTATCTAATCTGTTTGTTAGTTGTTTGACGGGTCTACACTACTCTGATCCTATTGTATTGAGTATTATACTTTTTTATTTCTGTAGATATGGGAGTATATGCTTCTGTCGTGAGATAGTATATACTCTATTTTTCTACAAGATAGTTTATACTACATTTTTTTAAAGAAGTATATGCTTCTGTTTTATGAAAGTGCATATACCTGATCTTTTTTGAGGAAGTATATACTACATGTTGTGAGTAAGTGCGTGCAGCTTCATTTGTGAGGAAGTATATACTTAATATCTTATGGGAGAGTATGCAACACATCTTTTCTGAGGGAGTATATACTTTTTTTCTAAAGAAGTATATACTTACATCATCTGTGAGGAAATATATGTCTTCGTTATACAAGAGAGTATATATTGCAAAATTGTGATTGAGTATATATGTTATTTTTGTATCCGAGAGTATATACCACATTATTTATCAATTATATACTTTTTTATCAAAGAGTATATACTGTGTTATTAAGAAAAAGAAAATTTAGTATGGTAAGCTCGCATAAGAATTTATTCACCAAAAAAGAGTATACGTATACACGTAATAAGAAGTATGTACATGTTTGATCACTGGTAACAAAAATGGCTTGTTTGCAAAAGTGCAAAGAAACCTGCTATAGTCGTTCCATTCATACAGTACATGATAAAGCATTCATGTATATGCATCAGCGGTGGCTATGTGAACACGTTCAAGTTTGCGTCACGACATGTGCTTGATTACAGGAGGTCAGACCGCCATCGGCCGCTGTCATCTTTGCGCTGCACCCTTGGCCATCGATGCTACTGCTCGGTAGATATAACATTCATCACTTCCACAGGTCACAAAAAATGGCAAAAGGAAACCGCTTGCAGAAATCATGTAGGATAGATACAAAAAACAATTACTTCAGGTCAACACCTAGAGGATGGTCGGTGACCAAGAACATCATGTGTACCGTGGCCTCCGCCCTCCGCCACTTATCCACAAGAAATACTGTTTGTTGTTGGGGAGATGGAGAAGTTGTCGTCAGAATGAAAGCTGGACCCCAACTGATAACACATGAACGTACCTCTGGAATAAAATGGATCATGCTCCTTTTGTATTACATCAGATCCTCTTTTGTGTTTCTCAAAAGATCTGCAGCAGATTGAATACTAATTCTCAGAAGACTGGATCCAATCAATGAGAGGATGAACAACTGCCAATGGAGGCTGCTGCCGAGCGAGCTCCTTCTCTTGGAGGGTGATGTAGTCCGTCGCAGTCGCTGTCATGCCAGCCGTCGCCGTTGTCGCTGCTGCCACCGCAGGCCACAAATGAGATGACGGGATAGATGGATAAGGACTCAAATTGATAGGATGGTCCAACGATGCATATAAAAACACCTAGAAAATCGGAGCAATGAGTTTGGTCGTTTCGGCTGAATTTTTCCCACGTAATAAAGGAGAGACACGGGCATGGGAGTATGTACTCCTAGGAGTACTAACCCATTTTCCTATATATATATATATATATATGAGATTCCCTACCAGAACGTACGTGGGTCACAACTATCGGAACCGTAGGTTCATGCGTTGAGATCAGAACCTTTGGCTCAGACCACTTCCTTTTCTCTCTCCACATCTAATTTATTTTGCATCTACAACTGTCCAACATACTGACAACTCTGTGCAAAAGGTTCTGGCTCAAAGTCTGTTGCTGCTGGACCGTCAGTGTCTCCTGGCATAGTTGTGTCACGGGCCTCTAGTGACGGTTCCAATTTTTTTGTTTTTAGTGATGCTAAAGTTCCATGTGTGAATATACGTTACGGCCCCGTTTCCCCCTGGTTGTAATAGTCCTTTTGACTTTATTTACTTTATTATAGATAAACTACGCTCCTACCCTACGTACAGTTCTATAAAGTATCTAGATGGGCAGTGTGGGATCCGATAACACTAATCAGGAACCGTAACCGTAATCTGGTCTGTAGTTTTATTTTGTCTTTTGCACTCATTTCTTTTTTGCCAAACTTATACTACAAGACAGCACATGCTCCACACTGAAGCCACGCCATAAAACAATGAAAACGTCAACTAACTGGAACCTTATTTTCAGGACCGATTCAATGCAACGTCCAAACGGAAGTATTCATTCAGCTTTACATTCGATCAAAGTTGTACAGAATTCAAAAGGTTGTTAAAAAATGTCCGTTGATTCACAAAAAAAAGTCTGAGATATATAGTTTTAGATAAAATATAAAGGGGAAAGGACCAGATTTAACGACTTCACAGAAAGAAGAAAGTCTAGCACCAACCCAAACCACTGGCTCACAGCCACAACATGAAAAAAAATAGGCCCACAAAAAAAATAGAACACCAGCTCACAGCCTCACCGTGCAGGGCGCCTGCAGCCCCTGTCTTCGTTGTCGTCGTCTCCTCAGTCGAGGCATGGGGCTCACCACTGTCTTCGTTGCTCGCAGAAGAGGATAGGGGCCCGAGTCATTTTCCTCATCGTCAGGTGGCCTCACCAGATCTGGAGGTAGAGAGCAGCCGGTGCTCCAAATCGATGGCGCTGGTGCGACTCATGTGAGAGGAGGATCGGCGTGGTGCGGTGGAGGAAGTGAGTACAGGAGCGAGAGATTGAGAATGGCGTGATTCAGATCTGGGGAGAAGAGAGAGAGAGAGAGGTGAGGGCCACGTGTGGGGTGAGGTAAGAGAAATTAATGGGGAGGTGGAGGGATTATCGAGAGTTCTGGACGTGGCTGAGAGAGAGAAAAAAGAGGTCCATGCGTGAAGTAGTGTACTGAGCAACTAGAGCCTTTTTTCCCTCCCCCTCATCCATTTTATCACGTATGGGTGGTGCAAGGAGATCCGGCAAGGAGATCCAATCTCCCCCTACTTATTCTTGATTGCAGCAGAGGGCCTTTCGTGCCTCCTTAAATCCAGTTCTTCGTCATCGTTTGCAGGTATTCAGGTGGCCCCAACGGCTCCCACCGTTAACCACTTGTTGTTTGCAGATGACAGCCTGTTGCTATTCAAGGCCAATGTAGAGGGTGCAGATGTGGCATCAAACTTGCTTGAGACCTACTGTGCAGCTTCGGGGCAAAGAATCAATCATGAGAAGTCTTCGATTTTTTTCAGCAAGTCTTGTCAGGCTGCTTTGAAGGAAGCCATCAAAAACACCTTACATGTGCACAAGGAGACCTTGAATGAACGCTATTTAGGTATGCCCACCGATGTGGGACGCTCAAAAAATGGCACGTTCAAATATTTGAGGGACCGTGTTTGGGAGAAGATCAAAGGCTGGATGGAGAAACTGTTGTCCTCAGCAGGTAAAGAAGTCTTGATCAAAGATGTGTCCCTTGTGCGGGGCGGTTGATTCGTGGAGACATGCCCTCTTTATGTGTCCGATGTCAAGCAGTGTCTGGGCCCTAGCTCCGGAGGAGTTGGTTCATCACTTAGTGGATAGAATGGAAGAACACCCCAAGGATTGGCTCTTCGCTATGAGTGATGCTCTGAGCAGAGATATGTTTGCGCATATGATCGTCATCATGTGGGCAATTTGGCGAGCTCGTAGGAAAGCGATCTATGAGGACATTTTCTAGTCGCCCCACTCCATTAACGGATTCATCACAAGCTTTCTAGATGATCTGAGACATATCAATGCAGGTGAGCCTCGAAAGACCGTGTGAAAGCCACGAGGCCAACCCAGTGGCAGGCCCCGGCCACGGGATGTGTGAAAATAAATGTAGATGCGGCAGCTCCCAGGCATGCAAGATTTGGGGCCGTGGGGGCAATCTGTAGAAGCCCGGATGGTGTGTTCTTGGGAGCGTCAGCTTTGATTCTGAGGCACATCGGAGACCCGGAGACGCTAGAAGCCATGGCGATCAGGGAAGGGCTTGCACTTGCGGAGGACCTGCACCAAATGACATTCTAAAATAAGTCCAAATAAAAATGATGTTAATGACATAACTGCTTCTTTCGATTGAGAAAAAAACACGAAACATAAAATTATTTTTTTCTTATAGCTACAGATTTTCATTTGCGGACCAGACCTTATTGCGTGAGAACATCTACAACCAGACACCATATCCGTTCGTAAACACCTGAACTGGCTGCCCGATCAGTGTCCGGACAAAACACTGCCACCCAACCAAGGTCCCCATATCCGGCCCAAATGCGCGGACTTACCGACACTCCTCATATCCAATCCATATGTGGGGCCGATATCGGACGCCTAGCCGCATTCTACTTCGGTCCACTCCCCTCCGCCCACAAGCTAATGTCCGGCGATATATCCTCTTCTCCTGTGTGGCGGATAGTGGATCTGAATCCTACACCTCTCAATATGTTGACCCAGAGCTCGTCTCACGCGGCCCCGAAAAGGAGATGGTCGTCCGCCTTGGTCCTTGGTCTTGGTCTTCTCTGGTTCATGATCTGGTTGATTTGATCCTTGGTCTTCTCCGCAGGCTAGAGATTGGGTAGTTTGATAAATTTAGTTCCTGGGTTCGGTTTCTACTGTATGTTACTAACCCAATTTGGTTTACCCAGCGCTCTACAGAATGGTCCTAGTTTGACGCACATAAGCGCACGTACATGTTTAACTGAAGCAAAGTCT